TTCACTTAACCCTATTTAAACAATACATAATAAAATTTTGCCAGACTCCCTTCAACTTTTTTATTCTCTTAATGATTCAAACATCTGTTTGGGGCAGGGGGACTGAAACCAGAATCTGTTTATTGCCTAGTAGTGATTTCAGAGTTCATGGAAAGTCATTCTCTTCTGTTGTTTTCCATCTATATAGTTGCCTCTGGTTCACCTAGCCTTAATTGCTGCAATTTGGGGCTTTTTTTTTTACCCCTACCAAAAAATCAGACTGTGAGGCCTGAGTGTCAACCCAAAATTTCTGCAGTTTTGATTCTGCAGTTTATCCTATCCACTGGTAATTAGATAATAGAGCTATTAATCTCTCTCCCCTACTCATCCTATACTCATCATACTCCATTGTTAAACTCTTAGCTATTCTTAGAGTATTTCCAAGACATGGCTGCCTGCCATTCTGTTTCCCAGTAAGTGTCATTTCTGTCTTGTTATTGTAATATATAATCCTCAGATGTCCTCTAGCAAACTCCCTGAGCCTAAGCCTTGCTTCATTTTGGCTTACTAAACTGCTCTCTACACTGTGTTATTAATATGCTACATAAAATGTGTATTCCTGTAGAGTAAAAAGACTCTACTGTACATGAAGGAAATATTTCAAGCACTGTACTAATAGAAACAAAAGAGAATATACATATCATCTTCAATCAAAAAGCAGCTAAAATTTTCCAATTGAGTTATACATACTAATCATAGAAATTACCATATTTTAGATGTTTAGCATTGGAAAGAAATCTTAAAATTTTGTCACTTTAAACCATTTAAGGAACAGGGAAATGTAAGCTCTGTGATATCAAGAATTCCATTTACAATTTTTGCTTGTATAGAAATAGAACAAGTTCAACACACTTCTAACATAATATTGTTTTTATCTGTTGTAACAAAGAATAAGCATTAGTAAAATTTTTAAAATTGTGTATATTTTTGTTCTTGTTGACATATAATAGGAAGCCATCACTGTTAGCCCTAAAAGATGGTAAAACATATCACCTTGGAAAAATTAAATAATAAATTGAATTTTTTCTCTAAAAGAAATGTCACCTGTCTCTGTGATCTCACACAGCTACTATAACTTCAAAAGATGATGCAAAGAAATTAGTCTCATTACTTAATGGTAATACCTAATATAGATCTCATAGAGGCATTCCTCCGTCTAAGAATTTAAACTTTGGAAATAAGGAGTGATAAATTTTATACACAAAAACTCGATCACAGTTTTACTTACAGTTACAAAAATTGGAAACAACCTAAGTGGTAAACAAGGGATATTGAGTGAACTATGGCATGACCACCCAACAAAATATTTTATGTAGCTATTAACATAATGTTTATCATTGTATATAGAATGTGATTGTTGTATGTAGAAGCAAAGAATCAAAATTTATGGTTAGATAAAAGAGGAAATGTACCAGTATGGTCACAGCAGTTGTGTCTTTGGGTGATATCATCAGCAGTATTGTTTTTTAGTTTCTCCTCCATTTTTTATTTATTTGGAGTATTGAGTATATATCACTGTTACAGAGTGTGGATTTTTTAATTTAAAAATGCGTTGAATTGGGGCTTGCTAAGAATATTGTACTACCAAACACAACTGGGTTTCTGTCCAGTGATGGATAGCCTTTGTATGCCTCTTGTGAGTTTTATCATCTGGAAGTACATTGATGTTTTAGAATCTTCAGGTTGGAACAAGTGTTTTAATAATGTAAAGCTACCTATATGAGACATACTTTCCTGTCTACCTTTTCCTCTTGTTTTTGTTTGTTTGTTTTGATTTTTTAAAAAATAGATTTAAACTCTGTTTTAAACCTTAAACTTCTTGGGACAATGTGTTGGTTTGTTTTAGTTTCTAGTCTTTTTTAAAGATGAAGACATTCTTTGAAAATGTACAAATGTAAGCAATTGTAAGTTGAATTTTATGTTATTTTGTTAGTTATATCCTTTGTTTTCTGTAAGGCATAGGCATTCAGTAACTGAGTGTCCTGCACTGTTGTCCCCTGTGAATTCTAGCTTCACATGTGTTCTTTTCTTGCATCAAGTTATTGCCAAAATTGCCATGGAAGATACTGAATGTTAGTTGACTTGCCGATAGCTTGAAAGCTATAGTGTCATTTGCCCAGTAAGCCAGATAGAACAGTTACCCACTCAGCAAGGCACAGAAGGAAAAGGCTCCCACGTGCAGTTTTCATACATGATGCTATTATCAGGGAGACTGGCTTCACAGATAGCTGTGTCACCACCACCGTAAGACAGAGAGCTAGACCAGTATTTAGTCTTCAGTTTGTGGCTGCAGAAATGACATCGTGTCAGCACATACAGTGTATGTCAAATTTTCCAAAGATCAGCCAACATAATCAGTGCTCTTAAAAACTATAGCTGTGACACAGTAACATTCAGTATTCTGAGTCTTCTCTTCCTCCATAGGGATGGAAGCACCCTGGGGCGAGTGTGGGAGCTGCAGAGAAAAGAGGTCTGCTTGATAACTTGCGCCCACAACTATTAATGTCTCTGATCATTAGAAAAGGCCTATATTTTCACCTTTTATCTACTTTATAGTACTGGGAAAATGTCAATAAATTCCTTCCAGTTTTTACCTTCCAGTGTTGAAAACCAATTAAGCTGTCTCCATCATTCAAGTTGCAGTCTTCCTGGTATTGGATGTTCTGCTTGTAAGGTGTAGCCATCTGTCATCATTTACTTTTCTTTTTTAACAGAACGAGAAAAGGAAATTTATACTTCCTAAAATTATAAGTCTGTACCTTAATGGTTGTTCTTGGAATAGCCTCTGTCAAGTTTTGAGTGATAGATTATATTTGATATGAACAAGTGCTATAATTGTGTTTGGTTTGGTTTGATTTTGGGGGGACAAGGTCTCGTTATGTAGTTCAGGCTTACCTGAAACTCTCAGGAATCTTTGTGCCTCAGCCTCCCAAGTTCCACCACACCTGGTTGTTTTGTTTTAAAATGAGTTATTGCTCTGTTGTTGTCCAGACTGGCTTCACCTTCCTAAAACCCTTATGATTTCCTGAGTATCAGAGATGATAAGAGCATCTTTGTTACATTTTAACTTAGTTCCTAACGTTAATGAGAACTTCTAAGAGTCTTGATATCTGCAGAATGACAAGCCTGTTCAAGGTAGGCAAAGAGATGCCAGGTAATTGGAGACCTCTAGAGGTCTTCAGGGTGGAGGCAAGGTCAGAAAAAGGATGATATGACTGGGAAGGTCCTATGAGTTCTGTACCCGTTTCCCCTATCTTGCCTTGTACATCTCTTTCATTTTGTTGTTACTGAATTGTAATTCTAGAACCTGAGACTGTTAAAGGAAACCCCACCCCACAATTGTAGCGTGAGTGGCCTAGTGTAGAGCATTGTCTGAAATGAGAGTGGTCTTGTGAGTCTGACCCTAACTAATCACACCTATGTAGTGTCAGAATTGGAAAATGACCATCATCCCTGCACCTTCAGGGTCTACTCCAAACAGGAGGCACTGACCACATGGACTATACTTTGAGCCAGGCCTGGTTCCACCATCACCTTCTCCCTAAGAAACTCAGTCTTCTCTTCCTATCACTTAAAAAGCATATAAGCTTTGGAGAATTTTTGTCTGTCTGTTTGTGTCTGTCTGTCTGTTTTGGCATGTCAGCAATCCTTAAACCAACCCTTAATCATCCTAACTTGGTTTCCATCCATGGTGTGAAACAAAAATGAAAATGAAAGCTTAAAGTTGAATGTAAGGCTAACTGGGTAAAATATTTTGTAACATCACTTCATACATTCCTTTTTTAAAAAATAGGCTTATTTTCCAGAAAAAAAAAATACAAATGCTATAAAGTGAATCTGCTTAAGAATTCTAGAAAAGAAGTTCTGAGTAGATTTGGCAAACTGAATTTCCACATTTCATTATATAATATATTATCTTGCTCTCTACCAGTTCTAATAATGTACTCTATTAAAATGATAAGGTGTCAGTTGATTTCTTAGACCTTTTAGAATGAGATATGGTACTATATTTGTACATAAATTGCTAAACTTAAATTCTTAATTTGGGTCATTAGTAATATTTTATAGGTCTGCGTTTTATGAAGTTAGGCTTCATTAAAGTTAAAACGTATTTCTAATGGAAGCCAGGCATGGTGGCACACATTTGTAATGCCAGCAGTCTGAGAGGCTGAAAGATTCCAAGTTCATGCCTACCTTTGGCCACTTAACTTAGTGAGACCATGTCTCAAAAAAGAAAAGTAGGTGGGGGATGTAGTTCAAAGCAAAGGCCCTGGGTTTATTCCTGTATTGAGTGGGGATAGAAAGGGTTCATGATAAGGTGAATGCTTCCAAACAAGTCAGTCTTCTTCTTAAAATAAATTTTTGCTATCAAGCAATTAAAAAAACTCTAAACATGAAAGAACTTCACATTTCTCTTTCTATGAGTGAAATTTCTTTATTTCCTAAGTACCATGCAAATGCATTTAAATAGAAAATATTGGGCTGGAATTTAGTTCAGTGCCATAATAAGCAGCTGCCTGGCAAGTGCAAGGTCGTGAGTTTGATCCCCAGTACCAAAAACAAAGAAAGAAAGGAAATATTTAGCATTAGTCATCAAATTACGATTATTAACTGAACAAAAGACAGTAACTTTAGAGTTTACTCAACAGTCGAGTCCCAAAATAATTTTCTTTTAAAGTTGGAAGGTACCAGGTAATAGTTTTCTTATTTGACTATGAAATAATGTTTAATAAGGCTTAACAGTATCCCTTCTGGAACTGATAAAAGTTGGATTTATCATATTTTAATTTTTGATGGACAGTTGGCTATTTTGAATAATGCCATTACGAACATGGATGGACAAGTTTTTTATGTGCTCATATTTTTTGTTTGTTTTTCTTGAAATTCCATCTAGGAGTAGAAATACTGGGTGAATAATATTTCTGTATGTAACTCCTATGGTGATTATTTTCTTTCTACAGTGCTCCAGCTAAGGCTGCAACAAAGAAGGACAAGAGAACAACTAGTGGACCAGGGCATCATGCCACGTAAGACTGCCACATCACTGTCATCTCTGGGGTACTGTAACAAGATGGGCATATCCAAGGAGACCATGTACCCCATTTACCTTCCCTCTAGGCACCACAGTTACCAACTGAATGATCAGGAATGTCTAGCATCAACAGTGTTAGTGTTACAATCATGTAGAATGCATTGTAAAAACCAAGTGTTTGCAGGTAGATTTGAATTTTATGTTGTACAAAGAACATTGTTAAGGCACTAAAAATTCTTAACTCAAATTTTGGTATTTGTTTTAGTTTTTAAGTCTAATCTGCGATTAGACTTGTAAAAGTAACCTGATAAAATTTACAACCTTGCCCTACTTAAATTTACTTAATTCACATTAATTTATCTTTGGTGCTATAGTATGATTTATATAATTAAATGTGTCTCAGTTGTAAGATGTAACCATTATAATTAATAAAATCTTTCTGGTCCAACTACAAATATTTCCTAAGTATTTCTAGTATTAATTCCTTTCAAGAGATTTTATTTGAGTTGTTTCCTTACCTTTAATCACCAGCTCTGTAAGATTTATATATTTTACAGAGGAAGAATGGTTGTTTAATGTGGGCTAAAGGATTATTTACCTGGTTTTTAATCTAAAAATTTTTCTAAGAGTTAACTTATTTTGCTTTAAACCACCAGAAAGTAATTATAAAATGAATGTATGCTTCCCAGCCACAAATCATTAGAAACTAGCCTATAAATCATTTAATGGTTTATAGTAAAGAATGGTTTTTCTCTGCAGTAAGTTTTGTTTCCCAGTACAATATTCTTCTGGACTGCTGTTAATTGGGTGCTGAGATATTTTAAATCTAATGTAGTAGTAGTTAAAAACAGCTTTGATAATCTGCCACATTTCCTCACCACATTGATCTCTGTGAACCAATCAATCAAACAGGATCAAGTTTTATTTAATTTACCACTGCTTTTGAGAGCTGGTCTCTTCCCAAACTTTGCTAGGTTGGGCCTGGGTGTGTTTATAGTACTTCAAGTATCAGGGAAGAATATAGTATTTGTAGACTGCTTAGTCAAGTCTTGTAAACCCAAAGAATCTTAGTCCTGCATCATATCCCATCCACTTACCTGCCATGGTTATACATGCAAGTTGTCATTGGGCAATGGTAGACATGTACAAAACAAATTGTGTATGCTAATTCATAGAAATTCTGTAGTAGGTCCTATCTTAGTAAACACCATATACCTTTGCAGTGAGATTGAAGAATATTTAATACACTTGCAGTGTTAGAGTCACTGCTTTGAGAGTTAATTACATTGTATCCTAAAAGGAACATGAACCTCTCAAATACAAAATTCTGGACTTAAACTCCACTTTTACTCAACTGTCTTTGAGCCTTTCATCTCTCCTAGAGCTAACTCTAATCTTGCAAGTGTGTTGTGAAGTCCAATAGCAATAAACAATGGCTGGCCCCAGCATTGTGGGTTCTGAATAAATAGTATCTCATATCTCTTAGACATGGAATACTATGTGTCCTTGTATTCAAGTGTAGGGTACTTTTGAGGATATTTAGACTTTTTCCAGTGTCTTATATGGCCACTAATGGCAAATACCTATTAAGAAATCAGATGTTTTCCTGGGCAATGGGAATTTGTTCTAGTAGTGGTGAGAAATAGTCTGATCCAGTTTGCATTGTCATTATCTATTCCATTCCTATTTTAAATGTTCACTTGTTTTACTTGTGAAATACATAAGTTTAATTCTTATTGTAACAGTTAAGGTTTAAAATTTTGCACGTCTGCTAAAGAAATAAATGGAACTACAGATGTGCACTAAGAGGATTATCAAACCAATATACCGCACACTGGGCTGAATTATAAACGCCTTTATTTATACTTTGGAAACTATTTTCTCCTTACAGCTTTGAAGAGCCCAGCAGCATTCCATGAACAGATAAAAAGCTTGGAACGAGCCAGAGTAAGAATTTCACTTTAAAATACTCTTGCTTCTCTGCTTTATTCTAAAGTATCTATGGAAGAAGTCTTAATTGCTGAATACATTAATAGAGCTAATACAATGCATCTTCAAGGCACACAGTGTAAAGAACATGTAGTCTGGGGCAGTTTTAAAGGTTTATCAAAATACATGACATTTAAATTTTATTCTTTTAAAACCAGTTACTAGTTTTGTAAATAAAGGACAAATCATACTTCATTTTCCTGCTCTCAGGACATGACAGTTTTTAGATATAAGGGGAGTAATTTTGTCATTCGTTACCCTGAAGAGGGACAGCTACATGATGTACACCAGATCCTGAGGAGATTCCCCTGCTTTGTGTTTGTTACCTCCACATTAGACCAAGAGGAGGTGATGGGGCTGAATCAGAGAAAACTGCTGTTTAGTTCTTTGAGATGGCTCCATCGTAGTTGCACACCACATTGCTACTTATTGTTTATTTCTAAAAGTACCATTATACAAGTACATTGTCTTTTGTTTTGGAGGAAAATAATGCCTGTCATGCAGGATGAAAATTTCCCCAGAATAACTAGGTGTAAAGGTGTATGCCTAAAATCCCAGCACTAGGAAGGCCAAGGCAGGAGAATTGCCACAAGTTCAAGACCAGACCAGGATACATAGGACCAGCTTAAAATACAAAGTAAGGCCTTGTCTCAAAAAAAGAAAAAATCCCCAGAATGCAATGATGATCTCTTACGAATCTTGCAACAGGTTATCTAAGTAGACTTTTTTACCTAAAGTATGATTTTAAATGTTTAAGTGATGAAATTCTAGGTTTATTCAAAAGTCATCTTCAAAATCATGAGCTTTTCATTTTATTTTGCCAAGTTTTAGATAAAAATATATCTAGTGCTTCCTTTTACCCATATACTGTCCTATTCCTTATACTGTCATGTTCCTATAAGAATTTGAAAGCTGCAATTTAAATCATGTATGGGATAAATTTCTTTAGGTTTTAAATTCTGGTCTTTTAGACATATGACAAAAGATAAAACAGTTTATTTAAATGGAGTACCCTAAATAAAATTTAAAACCACAATAATTATAAATAACTGTGGTAAAAATTTCATTACTTTTTTTTTAAGACTGAAAACTTCTTGAAACACAAGATTCGCAGTCGACCAGATCGTTCTGAACTTGTCAGGATGCACATTTTAGAAGGTAACAGTTTTATTTCTACTTACTTTGGCACATGTTCTGAAGAAAAGAAGTAAGGATTCTACTACTTCTGTTTATTCCTATTTTAATAACTTCTTATCTCACAGACTGACATTCTCCAAATTGGAGCAATCTGAAGACACAAAACCAAAATACTTATGTTAGATATCCAGGAGAAGGTTTGATTCCCCAAATAACCAACTGATGGGCTAGCTGTTCCCTACCAGCAGGCACCATGGGTACCTCTCCCATACTGTTTGGGGAAGACATTTTTGGTCAAGAGCATTTCCTTATCAGTGACAGATATATCCTGTTCATTAAATCACAGAGGATGTAATAATCACAGGTTTAACCATAAATTTTCAACTACTTAGACTTCATTTATTTTCTACTCAGAAAAAAGCCCACAACAGACATCATCTCCAGCACAGTCTAGCCTGATCTTATCGTTATGGTAGCCACTCCCACAGAGAGGATGACCTAACATCATTTGGGAGGCTGGGAGGAACAGTTCCCATTCCATTCTTACTAAACACATGGCTTAAGTCTGGGTGTTTTTGTTTTTTTTTTTTCTGTAAAGACAGAGCATTCTTCATCCCCATTAAAAACTCCCAAGTTACATTTTCTTTCATTGTTTTGCTTCTCCAGTTTATTAAGCAAGACTAAAAACTTGATCCTGTGATAGTTGTGTGTTAAACCTTGAGAAGATTCAAGAAGAATGTGGAAAATTATTAAATATTTAGAGACAATTGCCAGGTAGAAGGAAAATCTACTGTCTCTGTGCCTAATGATAGAACTAGGATTAGGATTAATATTACAATTATCTTATTAATATTATAATTATCTTATAGAAAACTAGTTGTACCTTAACATGAGGAATACCACTTTAAGGCCAAATACGTCCAAAAATGAACTCTTCAGGTGACAAAATTACTATTAGAGATATCTGTACATTGGCCAGCATGTTGCACACCAACAATGAACAAAACAGATTGCTGCCTGTCTCTTTGAGCTTGTGTTCTAGTGGCAGGCAGACATAGTGAGAATGCAAAACCAGTGAATTACAGACATTGAGGATTTCTCTGGGGGAGAACAAACAGGCAAATGTAATAGAGAAAAGCATAGGCTGACACCACAGTATGGTGTGGAATAAAGGTTCAAGTACCAAGTTTGTTAGTCTGTGGCCCCAAGTAGGGTCTCCTCTGACCTAAAGAATCTATGATCATGAACCCTTCCTTCTCACTCCACAGGCAGACAGTAAGGTATATGTGCCTTTCTCTACTTTGGTTGTATTCTTAGATGTTCATTGGACTAGAAAGGCTTTTTTAGAGCTCCAGAATGAGGGTCAAGTACCTGCCAGCTATCAGGGATAAGTAACTCTTGAAAGAAGCAGTTCATAGGTAAGTAACACAGTGAATGACTTTTTCTGTACCAAAAATAGGGATGTTTATGTAGTAACAGTGCTAGCTATTTTAACTTACCTTCTAATAGGCTGTCTTAGCATAATTAAAATTAAGGCAAATACATTTCGCTATCAAAACAAATTATATTTGCTTTTTAAAAAAATGAGTACCCAACATTTAAGAACCTAACAGTGTGAATGAACTGCAAGTAATATCTTTAGGACATCTGTTCTCTAGTTGAAATTTTTGAAATAAGAATGTGTCACCTTTAATTTATTTTACAAAATTGGAGCCACAGTTGGTTATATAGTAAAGTTATAAAAATGAGATGGGCTCACACTTTAACTTAGAGAAATGTACATTTATTTGTCAGTAATTCCAGCCAAGGGGTTGGGCCTTCATTTGAGGGTAGGATTTCATGAATGGAGTTCACATCATTTGATCCTTATAGCGCCCAGCCATTGTACATCATCTACAGCTTCCTTTTATGGTGTGATAAAAACTTAAAGGCACTGTGAAAAGCAGTTGTAGTTGAACATCTTAGATTGTGCAACTTTTTCCCAAATCTTTTATAGTTAATTGCCCAAACTAAATTGGCACTGATTTTTTTAATGACTTGCCTTTATTATATCTTTCCAAAGTGTTTTAAGTTTCCAAGGAACAATAATTTTTTAGTTTAGTATTTTCCCATAACATTTAGCTAAATTGTATATTAACTGTAACAATCACAACAGATGTAAAGTACCTTGTAGACAGTTGACTTTTGGCAAGCATACGGCTCCACTGCTAAAGAGTAGCTTACCAACCATGACCTTGCAATGAGCAATGAGCTGCAACCAGGATATTCTATCTGAAGAACGTAGCACATAGTTAATCTTGAAGCTGCACAGGGGGGATTTCATTAGAGATCTTCTGTTATTTTATGAGGCAAGTAACTTTCACCTGGAGTTTGGGGTTGACACTTTATCATTATTTTTAAACAAATGTAAGTTTATTTATATGTAACAATAGAAAAAATATTAGAGTTACCAGAAACATAATTGACTGAATAAAGAAAATGAATGTTACCAGATTATAGTTTCCATCTGTTGTAGCAGCATTTTTAAATAGATGAATTGATACTTCTCTAAACTATTAATTTCTGTGTAACTGGATGTTCCTAATAGACACAGAGTTTTGTATTCAGAAAAAAACCCAAATTCTTAATTATGATGCCTGATGCCGAGACACACAGGGATCAATTTGAGAATACTATAAATTACAGCTCTTCCTCTTTGACCCCTGGAGAGAAGCTTATATTCTCTAAGAGGTAGTGCCTCTTTCTAGGAATTGACTGTCCATTGAAGCTAAATATTTAACTATAAACCTTGTAAGTCATAGGCCACATCTGTCTTATTCATCTTATATATTCATAATAGCTAATAAATGTAAATTTGGCCCTCTTTCTAAAAGTGAATGATTACAGTGTGCTATTTTGAGTTTAAATCATGTTAATTCAGGTCGCTAGGCATCCATACTGTATAGGCAGAAATAAAAATTACAAAATGTATACTGGAGTATTCTTAAGCATTTTCTCGTTTAATAAAGATGCTTAGAACACATAAATATGTTTAAACTGGTTAAATTCAGTTAGTTGGCCTACAACATTATAAAATAGAAATAATAATTCAAGTAATAGTTAAAACTATGCTCTCTCTTTTAGAAACGTTTGCAGAACCATCTCTGCAAGCTACACAAATGAAGTTGAAACGAGCTCGACTGGCTGATGATTTGAATGAAAAAATTGCTCAAAGACCAGGCCCTATGGAGCTGGTAGAGAAGAATATCCTTCCTGTGGACTCCAGTGTTAAGGAAGCAATTATAGGCAAGAATAAAAGTTTACTGTCTTATAGGAAAAAAAACCTTGGGTGTTTTAGATAAAATTAATTAAAAGGCTAACACCAATCAGGGATATTGTTTTCCAGGTTAATTAGAAATTAACACGGTAATCGTTACTGTTATTATGTTTTAGAAGATCAGCATCTGCTTCCAATTAACAGATTCCCCTTTTATGTTTGAGGTTTAAGTGTGGTGTTTTGATTTCCTTGTCACATTTTTCTAAGTTAAAGTACTATATTGTGCTGTTTAATATATTTACAGTCTTTTCATCTTTTATTTCTATTTCTTTGGAGAAAGGTAGTTTATTCAGCATTAGTGCAAGAAGGGGAATAATAGACATAAACATTCTTTAAGAAAGGTAGTATGTATCCATCTCATGCTGATCTCATCATATTTAATTCCTGATGAATATCTTTTTCCCCCACCTCCTTGATGATGGAAATTGAACCATGGGCCTATACATGCTAAGCACACACTGAGCTACAACTACAGCCCACTGTTTCTCCTTTTATTTCTCTCGTAAGTTTTACCAGAGAAAAATCATTTCAAGAATGCTACTACTGGGGGCTGGGAATTTAGCTCAGCGGCATAAGCACCTGCCTTGCAAGCAGGCAGTCGTGAGTTCGATCCCTGGTACCGATAAAAATGAAAAAGACCAAAAAAAAAAGAATGCTACTACTTACTCAGCAAGCAATTTTAAAAAGTTATCATCATTTATTTTCCATTATTATTATTTTCAGTTTTGGTCATTACCCCCCAAAGATAAGATGTCACTCCAGATGGGCTATTACTTAAATTGGAAACTTATCAACAGATACCCAGTGATATGCTACTGCCTCATATACTCTGAGTAGGTCCAGTAAGATTTCTATGTTGGCTGTAGCCAATTTGTCTTTTAAATTTTAATCTGCAGGACATGGTGGCATAGGCCTGTACTTGGGAGGCTGAGGCAGGAGGATCACTGAGTTCAAGGCCAGTGTGGATATACAGTGAACTCAAGCCCAACTTGAACTACACAGTGAAACTGTCTCCCACGAAAAAAAAAAATGTCTTAATCTAATCTGTAAGATAAATTGTCTTCCTGTTTTTTACTTGATACTTATTTGCAGACCACACAGGTGTGTGTTGTTCTCTAGCATGTCCCACATTTTGGATTTTACTGACTGTATTTGCATTCTAGGTATTACTAAAATTGTTTCCCTCTCCTGTGCTATCTGCAACTCTCAGATCCAGAGACTTGATATGATCCCCATTATTCATAGGTACTAAATGGTCTGTATTTCTATTGGAAAGTATGCTGTATTGAATTTGATTTTAATGTAATCCATGTAAATATTAAAAACATGTTAAAAAGCACTTTCTTTACATCAATAAAAAATAAAACAGGTTCATACCAGAATAGTTAGAAAATAACAATAGTTATTACATAGTGTATCATAAATATAAAAGAAAGGGCAAGATGTTACTCAGCATACAAGTCATATACAAAAAAGATTCTCTTACAAAAAATTCTTATGAGAATCAGTGTTTTTCCTTTTTTATATTTGGTATTCCAAGGCCAACATAAATTACTAGTCATTTCTTTCTCCAGGCGTTAGGAAGGAGGACTATCCCCACACTCAGGGTGATTTCTCATTTGATGAAGACAGCAGTGATGCTTTGTCTCCAGACCCGCCTGCAAGCCAGGAGTCTCAGGGATCAGTGGCATCCCCAAGTGAGCCAAAAGTTAGTGAATCGCCAGCTCCTGTGACAACAAACAGCCCAGCCCAGGTATTGTCTTTCTGGTTTTGACTCCTAAGTAGAAAAGATGCCCTTTTTTTTATATACTGTACCAGGCTATACATTTTCACCAGGAAAAGTATCTGAAAGTATTGAAAAGTACGGTTTCTTTTTTTTAAACATGTAATCCACTTTTAAAATTTTTCAGTACATTCTTACATTATTTTAATGCTCTTATGTACACATTTTATGCTTATAATTTTTGCAAAATCTTCACTTAACTTTTTTAAGATTAAAAAGACACAGAAAAGAAAAACAAAAAGGCAATACAAACAAACAAGAAACTGAATACAGTAACAGCACAGGTTTACAAAACAAGATGATAGGAATTTGACAATGGTTTTAATATTCTATATTGTTACCTTCAAGAGATTCGCTTAGATTAACAGATATAGACATGTAAAATTGATCTAAACATGAGTATTAACTATTCTTTTCCAATAACTAATACAAGTAGTATTAGTATTATATATATATATGTAGTATTAATATAATACTAGTAGCGTAGTCAGTTTAACTATTATATATATATATATATAAGTATATATGTACGTATACACACACACACACACCAAATTTGTCTTTTTCCTTTCACTTTTTTCCTCCTTTTCCCTTATTCTAATTATTTTTCCTCTTTGTACAGTTTCTTATCCTTACACAGTATTTATTGTAGATTTGGAACATACGTACTTTTTCAGTTTCTTACACTAAGAGACAATATGGTATTCATGTAACTTTTTTTCTGCATTCTTTTATGTCACTAAATTAATCCTTTTTCTACCATCCAATCATTTTTTCTGCAACTGACGTCATTAAGGGAATTGGTTGTTAAATGAAGAATTGTATATAATATGTACAATATTCAGAACAAAGAAATGATCAAAAGAAACTCCAACTTGATGACTTTGCTTTTATTTACATAACTCCTACATGCAGTACTGTAATATATAATAGAACATAAAACTACTGTGCTCTACAATAAGCAAAAATTACAGTACTGTATAAACAAGGTGTATTGTACCCAAACAGGACATTGAGACTCTATAAACAGGACCTATGGAACTGTACCAAAAAAAAAAAAATTATAGTTCAACATCATTTAACAAGTAGGTCACTAAATGATGAATATCTGTATAGTTCAGTAGTGTTAAGGATAGTTCATATTGTGCAGCAGATATCAACTTTCTCAGCAAAGAAAACAAATTTTGTACCTATTAAGCACTTTCTCCATTCCTCTCTCCTGCTACTAGTATAGTCTGTCTATAAATTTGACTGCTCTAGATATCTCATGAAAGTGAAATCATACAGTATTTGTATATTATTACAACTGGTTTATTTTACTTAGTGTGATTCAAAATTTACTCAGGTAGCATGTGAGGATCTCCTTTTTAAAACTAAATATTCCATGAGTGAGTGTGTATGTATGTTCACATATATGTATGTGTGTCTAGACATGTCTAAACATTTTGATTATTCATTCTTTGATGGCTAGTTGAGTAGCTTCCATCTCTTAGCTATACTGCATAATAGCACTGTGAACAGGGGTATGCAGGTATCTACTTTTAGTCCTTTTGGAAATGTATTCAAAAGTGGGATTACCAGATCGTGTGTTTCAGGTTATGTTTGTTTGCCTTCAGTTTTGTTTTTGTAATACTGAGAATTGACCCAGGGCCTTGGGCGTGCAAGCCAAGTACTCTACCACTGAGCCACATGCTCAGCCCTTCTTATTGTGAAACAATCTTGCTCAGTTACCCAAGTGTTCTCAAATTTGCAATCCTCCTGTCTCAGCCTCCCAAGAAGCTGAGATTACAAGTATGTGCCTACTTTTAATTTTTTTGAGGAACTTCCATACCACTCCTGTAGCAGTTGTACCATTTTACAGTCTCCAACAACAGCGCACATGAGTTCAAATTTTCCCCTCCACAGTCTTCCCAACAAAGGTTATTTTCAGTTCTTGCAATAGTAACCATTCTCGGAGCAATATCTTGTTAATGGCTTTGATTTGCATTCCTCTAATGATTAGTGATGAAAAACATGTGCATTTTGGTTATTTGTATGTCATTTTCAAAGGAATTTCTTTTCAAACCCTTTTGCCCATTTGAAGACAGGTTATTGTTGCTGAATTGCAGAAGTGCTTTGTATATTCTAGATATTGACCCTTTGTCAGATACATAATTTTATATAATGTTAAATATTCCACTTATATTGCATAGATATGAGACATTCTTCCCATTCTATAGATTGCCTTATCACTCTTGGGGTATACTCTTTGATATAGCTTGTTTTGGGGGGAGGGTTGTTTGTTTGTCTTTTTGAGACATTTCCCTATGCAGTTTAGGCTGGCCTTGAACTCACAGCAATCCTCCTGCCTTAGTCTTCCGAATGCTGGGATTACAGACATGCACTACCACGCCCAGCCTTTTGATACAGTGTTAATGTTTGATATGGTTGTGTTTGTCTACTTTTTCTTAATTTTAATTTTTTTTTATTTTTTGGTACCGGGGTTCGAGCTTATGATCACATGCTTGCAAGGCTGGCAGTTATGCAGCTGAGCTAAATTCCCCACTGTCTTTTTCTTTTTGTCCTCTTTGTTCTTGGTGTCACATCCAAAAAATCATGGCCAAATCTAATGTCATTAAGCTTTCTTCTGTGTGTTCTTCCAGAAGATTTATAGTTTTATGTCTTAGGCTTATATTCAGTTTGAGTTCATTTTATATTTTACATGAGGTAAAAGTTCAGTGCTATGCTTTTTGTGTGTGAATCTCCATTTTTCCAGGCAATATTTGGTGCAGGGATTTTCTTTCCCCATTGAATGATGCCAATCCCCTGTTGAAGGTCATCTGGTGGTTAATTTTTTAGCACTCTGTCCTATTCCATTGATCTGTAGGTCTGTCATAATGTCAGTACTACACTTGTTTAATTAGTTTGGAGTAAGTTCTTAAATGTAATAATGTCTCCTTTGTTCCTCTTTTTCAAAACTGTTGTGACTTAGAACTCCTTGAGAGTCTATATAATTTTAGTATAGGTTTTTCTGTTTCTGGGAAAATTTACTCTTAAAGCATACAGTTGAATAGATATTAATATATTCACATATATTGTGCAGTTATCACCACTGTCTAACTCTGAAACATTTTCATTGCCCCCAAAAGAATCCCATCCCATTAATAGTCACTGTTCATTGCTTCATCTACCAGAGGCTGGGGGCAGCCATCTGTCTGTGTTTATAGTTCTTCCTAATTGGGCAGTGCATACAAATAGAAGTATATAACATGTCTTCCATGGCTGCTTTTTTTCATTTAGCACAGTGTTCAGAAAACACATCCATGATATGGTCAAGTTTTTATGTAGACATAGGTTCTTCTTTTTCTTGAAATTCCACCTAGGAGTGGAATTTCTGGGGCATGTCATAATTCTGTGTCTAACTTGCATACCTCAATATTCATAAATAGCTTCCTTTATCAACAAATACATCAGTATCATTTTGAATTGAACTGATATACCATTTAACTGATTCCCTACTTTTGATTACCTAGAATGGTTTTCTGTCTTTCACTGTTGGACACACAATAAGAACACTGTTGTATTCTCACATGCTTGTTACAAATACATATACATACATTGTTGGGCACTTATCAGATCATTTCTTCAGATACATTGCCAGTTAATGAAGAGACTTTTTAGGCTAAAAGTATGCACTTATTTGCCTTCTAAGAAGATAATACAGGTTTCCTCAGCCTCCATCTTTACAAATACATAATAGCATTACTTTGGAGATTTTAGTGGTTCTTTTTGTTTTGCCATGGTGGGATTGAACCCAGGACTTTGCATATGGTAGGCAATGTATACTCCCAGCCTGAGGTTTGAATATTTACATTAGCCTTTTGATACTATATGAGATTGAATTCATTTGTTTAGCAAATATTTATTGAGCACCTATTGTGTGTTCAATTGTGTTAACTCAATCTAGTGCATTCAAAGAGATCTAAAGAATATTTTTGTAATTAAATTGGAAATTCATGTGTCATACTTTCCGATAGGTATTCATGTTTGTAGTGGTTTAATAAGAATTCTTATGCTACACATCGTTTATTGTTCATTGCTCCTTAGTTATTTTAAAGTCAAAACTAATAACTACACGCATGGTGGTGTAATCTCAGTACTAGGGAGGCTGAGGCAGAAGGATCTCAAGTTCAAGACCAGCATGAACTATAGCAAGAACTTGCCTTTAAAAAAAAAAACTACTGATCTACTTAGAGTGGTCATATGAACCCCAAATGTTCTTGTTAAACCATCACTGCAGAATTTTTGAGTTGGAAAGAAATTTGATGCTTATCTGCTTTATCCCTTGCATAAGAGTCAGCCTGGTTTCATAGAGGTATTGAAGTTTAGAGACTAAAAATGCATTATTTTCTGGCATCATTTTGTCTCACTCTTGAGTATCTGTTAGAAACTTTTCTTCTTTGCTCTCAGCACCATGTTCTAAAATATGTTTGTTGTCTCTGTGCCTGCAAATAAAATGTAAAGCTAAAAAGAAAAGGACTGCGACTCTTAAAGGACAAGAACTAGAGAGAGTATGTAGATGTCGTTCATATCTAGAGCAGTATCTAACACAGAAAGGAGGAGCTCAGTAAACACTAATTAAGCACCATGAGTATAGAAGTGCCTGTCCTTTCACTTGAAAGAGGTGCACTCCACTTGCACTATGGATGGTGACAATTTAGATCCTTTTAGCCAGATTTATAGGACGGAGTGGTTGTTGCCCCTCAGCTTTGCTGGAACCTAGTCTGGAGAAAGGATACAAGTCAGTGACTAGCCGACACCCTGAGATCTGAGCAACTAAAAGAAAGCAAAGAACAACAGCTCTGTCTCCATTACTTTTCTTTTGTTGCTAAGACAAAATACCAAAGTTAAAGGAGGAAAGGTTTATTTTTTTAAAATTTTTTTATTTTAAAGGGGTAAAAGTAAACACAACAAAACAGGACATAAGAAAG